AGCATTTATTAAGTTTAAAAGCTTATGCCAACATATTTTCTCCAAGTGTAGTGAATTTTGAAAGTAACATATTTTAGAGTTGACCACTTGCATTCTACAGGAAGTAAAATCCAGCTACTAGTATTCGAAGTTGTTTCCACTTCCAAACCAAAAGGAATTGTACTTGCACAGACCTTTTTTTCCAATTTTTCAAAAACTATTGTGCAGGTTATTTGGATCGTGACAAATATGCCAATTTGTTTTAATAATTTATGGTATGCACTATTCGAATACGATTCGAAATTATTTGACCGAAACCACCATTCACTTCGAACCTAGAGTTCACTATCCACACAAGTATAGAATTGAGTGCTGGTCTTATTATTGCTTTAGCAATTTATTTGGATACTCGCAACAAGTTTTTGCCATCGCCGTTGTCGTCATATGCCCTATAAAGTCCAAATTGATAACAACCACCCACGCATCGTATGTTCTACCAGTGGGTAAAAGCATGTGAGTGGGGCCAATAAACACGGCTGAATCGGAGATCAAACGAGCCAACCTATCTCCGTTGCTCAGAGGGCATATGCGATAATATCACCAAAATTGCGAGGCCTGCCGTCGAAGCAGACGGGAAACACCCCAGCCGTCTTGAACGGGCATGAAAAGACGCAGGGTGTGTTTGTTTCTCGAACAGCAACGGTGAACCCTGCTTCTAAGGGTCACGATTGCTGGTGCAAGCGCAAGCTCGACAGCCATCAGTAAGTGGCTTGTATACAATTCTATGTGCTGCGCTCTCCTTGTGAAGAAACTGTGCGAAAGATGTGCTCTCCTTTAAGTGGCTGTAGCCTTTAATACCAGCGATTTGTAGAGTTTCATGAGATCGGAGCCAGAAGAGTTAGCTGCCAGCTTCACTTATAATATTACAATTTGTTGCTATCACATTCATTGCTTCACCCTTGCAATGCAACTGTGACTCTATTTTCTTTAGAACTTGAATGTGTGGGTGTAAACAGCCAAGTCGACAAGCGCCGTGTAATGGAGCAGGCTAAATGAACAAGAACACGCACGAGCAATAAGCAGTCCTGTGCACCTGTCTTTGCTAGGCTGCCCTGGTAACCAGACACCTCCTCCCCCCCCCCTTTTTTTTTGAGCACTGTTACATGTAAGTCACCCTTCATTTTTCTTGTTTTCCTTTCTTAGACATCAAGCTATATATAAAAAAAATCAGTTGCACAACAAGGTTGAAATAATGAACGTGATAACAACAAATTGTAATGTTATACGAAGTAACGTTGGCAGCAAGCTCTTTTGTTGCCAGTATGGCATAGCTCCCCAAAACATTGGTGCAAGAGAATAATAACTGAAGAAACGAGAGATGCTCTTTTCGCACAGTCTCTTCGCATTGAGAGCGCAGCGTGCAAAAGGGTTTACGAAACATTCGCGCTAATGCCTGCCCTGATAGCGTGTGCGCCAGCGATCGGGACCATCTACTTTGAATTAAAGTTGACACTTGGTACTCGAGCAATCGCAGCCTTGACGAAACCGGAAATGCACTGTTTCAGCCACATTTCTGGGCACGGGGCATGATGGCTGCCGGACCTTGCGGCTAAATTCGGTTGCTGTGGCACAGTAGAGCACTGATAAAGGAGTTTAGTGCAACAGGAATTGTTCGGCGCAGGTAAACAAGTTTGGCGCACAATGGCACGATTTACACAGCCATTCTACGTTTAAAAAGACATTTTTACATTTGAACTAGAAGCAACAGATAACACTGCAAATGTTTTCCCTGGTTTCATGCAGTTGTGACAAATAGGAAAGCCAAATACGTCAGCTCCCCTGTCTCTTCTTAAAATGCAAAGCTTTGCATTTCCCGTGAGGACATGCGAGAAAGGCAAGTACTTCAGGGTAGAAAAAAACAGCTGGCCACACAAGGCCTTCGCCTGTTGATAACTGGCGCACCCTGTGTTCTCGCAAGGCAAGGTGGGTGGGCGTGAGTGGATCAAAGTGTTTGCACTCCAGTTCCTCCTCCTCGGGAAGCTCGACTCTTCGTTCCTGTAGTTTATAAAAGCAGGAGCAGAACCCTTGTAATACAAGCTACTTGTCCACAAAACTGCACAGGCATACCTCAGGTAGGTGGGGAACCACATGAGTAGATGACAAAAAGACCATGTCTCACAGATGCGGCCTCTTGTTGAACTTTTCATTAGAGAGACTCTCAAGAGCGTGCAACGCACATGGTTACACTATCACACACCATTTAAAAGATGAAAACTTGGGAGACGAAGAACCACACAAACGTGAGGGCAAACTTTCAATTCAATAACAATGAATCGAGCGTGCAGCGGAGGCGAACGAGCGCATCAAGTCACGTCACACGTGAGACATGAGCGCCATCTGGCAGTTTTTTTCTTTGGAAAACAAAGCACGTGGCCCCTGAGACGGGCGTGGGTGCCCGTCTCAGAGGTGATAAGGTGTAGAACGCAAGGCGACGGATAGGTGCCACCACCGTGTCATCTTAGCAAAGCGTTGGAAACACTCGCTTCTTCGTGAAAACATAAGCGCTACGGTCCTTAGAATTACTTATGTATGCCTTTTCTAGTAAAAGACGAACATGCAGAATATATACGTGTTGTTATGGTGCCTCAGATTGTTATGGTGCCTCAGACAATGATTGCTTTTTAATTGACAATCGCACACGTATGAACGCCGATCCTTGAGCAACATTGATGGCCGCTGCGGATGGGGTCGGCCATTCGGTGTATCGGCTGGTGCTGTTTAGAATACCCATTCGCGGTAACGGTAGACAAACCGACAAATGTACAGACAGACAGACCAAAGTTTTTGCGTTGAAGGTCCCCAAGAAAGACTATCATCTTTAAAAAAAAATAAAAACAAAAACTCAGACTTACAAGATTCTTGGATTCGGTTCACCAAATGACAACAAATGCACAATCCGGTGGGCATACATTTCTTTCCACACAATATTAAAAGCCAAACAAAGCAGTAGCCTTATCACAATGTTAATGAAGACAGTATGCTAGCCCTTACATTTTGTCATTGCTTTCACGTAGTTATAGGCTTGAGCTTTGAAGCGATCCTAGAGTCAGCCAAGGCGGAGTCATAATTTTCTGTAAACATAGTAGGAAAAAAAAAGTGTAAGTGCATAAAGTAATTTTCAAAATGACAAATAAAAAGAAGTTTAACAAGAGTACACAGGTTGTTCACAGATGCGGTGCTCTGTGAGCCGATCCAGTTAAGCATTTGTCAGTATCCAGTGCATGTTTAATGATAGTAAATACAATTGGACACTAAAATGTTGCCATAACAATGAACGAATGATCAGTCAAATGCTGAAGGAACTTATTGTACGTTTACATTTACTTATTAAAAAAAAACTCTGCCTCACTAATCTGAGTTTAACTCTTTTGTTACCACGCTTATTCAATTTGATCACTGGTGATTGACAATTCGGACGGTCCATTTTGGCATGTGGAATTTGTTTCTCATGCACCCAGCACTTTCTAGTACTCAGTGCACCCACTCAACTTTCAGGATCGATTTGAATTTGCCCGTTTTAGCACAATAGTAATCTTCGAAAGACTTGCGCGAACCACTGTGCATGTGTTGTTGGGAAAATGCACTTGGCTGGTGAACTTGATAGAAGTGCATGCCCCTCGTAGTCATGCTACAGTACCATCAGAGCTCTTTATTCAAAAGAGCCTTTGCAAGTCAATTAGTATCAAATTAACGGGTCAGCTTCACAATCTGACAGTGCTGAGGAGTAATAATTGCCAGAAATTTATGCTAGCTGCCAACAAGAGGGTAAAAAGGTATGTCCGTTTGCCAGTGCGTGTCTTGACTTTGAGCACTTTCTTTTAGTAGCGGAGCTCGTTAAACTTTCTGCTGCGCTAGATAGTGCAAATAAAAAATTTTGATTTATCATGAACCGGTATGCCCTCGCTTCATCTTCTATTGCTGTTTAGCCCCTACAACATGTGCATCGGTTTGGCTGGCTTGGAATACAAGAAGTCTGTTACGTGACTAAAAATCATGTAACAGTACCACGGGATCATGGCCGTCATCTAGGTTCGGTCTTTCCCCCTCCTCTGAAGATGAAGAGGATCTTTCTGATAATTACATAAAGTTTGTTCATCATCATCACATAACAACCAGTGACAGGGCTGACATTGCTAAAACAGCACATGTAAACTTGTCACACAACTAAAAATCTCGTAACTAGAATCATGTCATCATCAGCCTGACTACGCCCATTGCAGGGCAACGGCCTCTCCCATGATCTGGCAATCAACCCGGCCTTGTGCTTTCTGGTGCCACATTATACCGGCAAACTTTTTGATCTCATCGGTCCACCTAATTTTCTGTCTCCCCTTCATGCATTGGCCTTCTCTGGCAATCCGGTCAGTTAACCTTATTGACCAGCGGTTATTCTGCCTATGTGCTACGTGCCCGGCCCATTTCTTCTTGATTTCAACTATATAGTTGAAATATCCTTAGCCCCTGTTTGTTCACTGAACCACTCTTCTTGTCTCTTAAGGTTACACCTATCATTTCCCTCTCCATCGCTCGCTGCGTCGTCCTTAATTTAAGCTGAACCCTCTTTGTAAGCCTCCAGGTTTGTGCTCTGTAGGTAAGTACCGGCAAAATGTATATCTTTCTCTTGAGGGCTACTGGCCGATTACTATTCATAATTTGAAAATGCTTACCGAATGTGATCCACCTCATCCCTAGTCTTCGTTATTTCACACTCATGGTTCGGCTCCATGGCTACTACTTGTCCTAGGTAGACATTTTTTTACAACTTCCAGCATCTCTCCACCTATCCCAAAGCGCTGTTTTCTGCCAAGTCTTTTGCACATTACTTTAGTTCTGTGCATATTTCTTATCAGACCTGCTCTTCTGCTTTCCATGTCCAGTTCAGTTATCCTGAGCTGTAATTTGTCCCTTGAGTCATATCAAGACAATGTCATCTGTGAATCCATTGTTACTATGACACTATCCATAAACTCTTATCCCTGCCCTTCCCACCCTAGTCCCTGAAAACCTCCTGTAAACACGTGGTGAACAGCATAGGAGAGATTGTGTCTTTCCTGCCTTGCAGCCTTCTTTATTGGAATTCTGTCGCTTTTTTTATGGAGAGCTATGATGGCTGTGAATCCACTGTAGATTTCTTCCAGTATATTTATGTAGGGTTTGTCGACCCACTGACTCTGTAGTGCCCGCATTACTGCTAATTTCCTGATTGAGTCATACGCCTTCTCGTAATCTATGAAAGCTATGTATAGGAGTTCGTTGTGTTCCGTGCATTTCTCTATTACCGGCTTGATAGTATGAATATGGGCAATTGTGGAGTAGCCTGCGCGAAATATTACTTAGTCTTTTGGTTAATTGCACTCTAATGTTGCCTTATTTCTATTAGCTATCATTTTTGGAAATAGTTTGTTGAGAACAGACATAAGCTGGTCAGCCTGTAATTTTTCAAGCCCTTGACGTCTCCTTTCTTATGAATCAAAAGTATGTTGGCATTCTTCCAAGATTCTGGTACCCCTCCAGTCAAGAGACACTTCATATACAAGGCACCCAGTTTTTCTCACGCAATTTACCCGCCATCTCTTAGCAGGTCGTTGTTACCTTATCCTCAACAGCGGCTTTGCCTCTTTGCATTTCTTCTAGGGCTTTCCTTACTTCCCCTGTCATTCATGGTAGGATGTCAAATTCCTGTGGGCTATGATTGCTTCTTACGATATTATTCTGGTTGTTTCGGCTTCTGTACAGCTCTCTGTAAAACCCAGTTTATGCCCTTGCCTTTTTTAAATCTAGGTGAATGCGAGCTCTTGCCATTCTCAGGTCACTGCATCGGATCTTGACAACTACCTCTACATACTGTACAATGCCTGGATGTGCACGCAGAATGAAGTCTATTTCATTTTTAGTTTCGCCATTAGGACTTCGCCACTCTACTTACCAAGGGCCAAAGGTTAATTGCTGTGTTCATGGGAGGTTGTGGCCAGGTACTGCACCAGCTCATTTTCCAAAGAAGGTATTCAAGATCCGTAAATTAATACATTCTGCGAACTATAATAATAACTCCCCTCTAGCTGATGCCATATTCCCCCACTACATGGTCTTCGGCCCGTTTCTTGCCTACGCATTAAAGTTGGCCATCAGATTTCCTTTAATAATGGCTGACTCTACATCTTCATAGAAGCATTCAACCAAATGATCATCATGGATCGATGTAGGTACGTAGGCCTGTACTACCTTCATGTTGTACCTTTTGATAAACTTCATTATGATACTTGCCACCCTCTCACTGTTGCTAGAGTATTCCTCTATGTTGCCAGCGATATTTTTGTGTATGAAAAACCCTACCCCTAGTTCTTTTCTGTCAACTAATCCACGGTAGCATGGGACATGTCCGTTCTTCAACACTGTATAAGCCTCACTTTTCCTCCTAACTTTTGTGAGCCCTATCACATCCCATTTAACACCCTCTAATTCCTCGAATAGCGCAGCCAGACTAGTCTCACTAGATAGGGTTTTAGCATTGATCGTAGCCAAGTTCAGATTCCAATGGCGGCCCACTTGGACTTAGAGATTCTTAGCCCCCTCTACTGCATTGCAGGTCTGACCGCTGCCTCAAACAGTTGCTTCACAGCCGCTGGAGACAGGGCTAAGGGTTAATTGATGTGTTCATGGGGGGTTGTGGCCAGGTACTGCACCAGGGTGGCCAATCTTGTTCTGGTGAGGAAGTGCATTACTGGTTGGTGGACGCCGGTGAGGCTGCACTCCAGACCTCTTCTTTTTTTAATGATCCCTTCATTATGCATTTTAAGTAAATATACAATTCGGAACTGAATTTTGTGATTGCATGCTAGGCTACTCATGTAATGTTACATAAATACTCGTGTGACTTAAAATCATGTAACAGCATGCAACACGTATTCCAGTGATTAAAAGAAAAAAGTCACAGCTTTGCCACAAAGGTGAAGCAATGAACACGATAGCAAGAAATTGGAAGGTCACGCACGGAATGGCAAGCAGATCGAAATGTGCCTTGTGTTTCTCACGTACAAATTACACACGAAACGTACTCACAGGGCACAGATGAATGGGAACAAGCGCCTCAGTTGTTACTTCGCTGTGTCTGAAAACCGCGCCATTTTCACAAATGGAGACTGTGCAACGATTGCAGTGACCTTTGTGCGACTAGCAACTACAACAGAATCCTTCCGGTGAAAGCCCAGTGCCAGACAAGACGTACGATCCTCCCCACCACGTTAAGGGCGCGCGAGTCAGCGTCAACTCCCCTCCTCTTCGTGGGGCAAAGTACGCATTGGAGATGAGAGCGTGCGCCGATGCGTCCTGACGATGTGTCGACGCACGCTCATTGCGCCATCTTGCTGGTAATAATGAAAACACAACAGTTCCCCCCATGATGCCGGTCGCCAGCGGTAAGTGGTACATATAAATAGCTTGCCGTTTGAACGTTGAAGAGGTGCTCCATCGTAGCTCAGTGGTTAATGCCTCGCACTCACACTGCAGAGGTCCCACGTTTGATTCCGCGTTCAGGAGTCTTTTTCTGGATTATTTTTCTTTCTTGTGTTTTCATATATATAGATAAGTATACATATACGGTGAGTGACAGCGATGCCAATGACAAAATTCAGCCCAGAATGTCTGCATAATTGCTATCGCAAGAAAAAAAATTAACATAACATCGCACAAATTAATAATAGCTAGTAACGTGACATGTTCCCGCCAAAACCTATGTAACAGCTAGTCCCATGTAACTTAACTCACAACATCATGCATCACGTCTTGTGACATGTCTAGCCAAGTCTAGCCATATTTAGTACTACTAGGAAAAGTTAGTATCTCTTGGAAAAGCTTAGTATTACTAGCAAATTTAGCCAGGTTGAACACTAGCTCCGCTGATAACTCCAACCTTGAGTGACTAGGGCGAGCTGCCCACGAGTTTTTCGTTCCATTTTTCTTAGAACAAGAAATTTATCTTCAGTGTGATCGCATGCACGCACACGTGATGCCATACCATGGCATCCGTGGTAACTATGCAGCCCATGATGCTGAAATTGACCAATGACTGTTGATTTTGGACTTATGACCTCATTTTTGAGAGAAGATGGAGCAATTTCCAGTTTGAGAATTAATTGTCGATTTCAGGCTACATGCTCTGCTTTATTGTTTGGCTCACATGTTCTGACAAGCCTCAACAAACAATTGGCAGCATTTTTCGACCACGCTGAAAAGACTTACAAGGCCCCTTTAATGTGCGCCAACACTATACAGCACACAGGCCTTGAGCATATCTCTGCCATCGGAATGTGACTGATAGAAACGTAGTCTTTCAGGCCAGTGGCCGAGCGTCCTCATCGCAGCGGCAGCGTTGATATTCAAGATGCCTTGCATAATTATCAGGTGTATTTTGAGGAGATACTGAATGAAATAAGAAAAAATGGTGAAAACATCAAAATTCTACACAGTTTTTCGGTCTGGCTGAAAATACTGGTGGGAAAGATTTTGTTCAGCATCTCTTTACAAGCTCAAATGTCAGCATATGACTTTGTGATGAACAACGTCAGAGAAAAAAGAAAATTCAAAATGAGAAACAGGGACCTACATAATAACATCAATGGAATAACATTAAATCAAGAGTAACTTTCCTGGGCAATCAGTTCAATGCAATCTTTCAATCGCTGCATGGCTTTTACGAGAGGTGGCAACTCCCCAGAGTTCGGAAGGCTTTTGGCAGAAAATGGATGTGACAAAGAACTAGCATATTTACTTAAGAACACTGTTATTTTTGCATGGATATACAGATGAGAGAGATGAAGAGGAAAGATAGAAGGTTAACCAGATACCAGCATCCGGTTCGCTACCCAGCACTGGGGTGAGGAAACAGAGACACACACACGAATTGTGTATAAGTACTGTAAGTTAAAAGGAAATCACTACAAGCTTCAAGACCTTCACCAAAATCACAACTTCACACTTGGATGGGCAGAGTGTAAAAAAGTGATCCTTAAGAGTAACCACCAGTGCCGAGTCAGCTTGATACTTTTTGAATTTGTGAAAATAATCAGCATCTTGCAAAATAAGTGCAAATGATGACGCGATGAGTTGCTAGATGTACTGAAATACACAGTGTAGCACAAATAAAAACGCAATCGAGGCCTAAGTTCACGGGAAAGCTTGACATGATTTGTCGTTAAGCAGGGGATGGCACTGGAGCGAACGTTTTGAAAAGACAACTCATACAAGCATCAAATGCTTTTCTTGTTAGCTTTCCCTGTCGGACTGGCAGCAGTCACGTGACCAAACTGACGGCAAAATAGTGGGCACAGGAAGCGGCAAAACACTGGTTACTGCGCCCACCTACCTCTTCCAAAGTGTCAGGAGAGTCAATCAATAAAACTTTTTTTTTTGCCTGCGGTGCTATTGACAAGGCCAGTGTAGACTGCAACAGGACAGGCACAATACCGCTAATGCATAAATGCCGGCAGTTTGGTAACGCGGCCGCGTCCAGACAACGGGGGCACAATGCCGGCAACTCGGACTCTTCGAGACACATGTCACGATTTGTCTAGCCTTGCACATTGTCTGAGGGTTCACATTGTTGGTCATTAAAAGTAATGTTACTTCATCCAGCCTTCTCCGTCGGCAACATACATTTTCTTTTGGTTAAGAAAGTAAAATGGCCCTTTCGGCAATATGAGAATGGTTAGTAATCGCAGCGTGAGGACTGATCATGCACATTAATCGTCAGTGTAAATTTTTCCTCGGCAGTAAAAACAATAATCACAACAGAAGCTGCGTGCTACTGTGCGCTGTAGGTGGTCAAAGATGTGGTTGTTGTAGCCCGTTCGCGTCTAACCAAAACAATTTTAATCACCGATGTCAGGAAGGTTTGACAATATAATAGGGAGACAACAAGAAAGAAAACTCGCTTGCGTGCCCACCTTTTGCCTCGTTTCTTCTTTCCGGCCATCCTCATATTTATTTAATTTTAAGTTGGCAATGAATTGATCCTCTTGTCGTTGAAGTTTTTCAAGCAGGCTCATTCTCACTTCGTCGTCCATGACTTCCATGAGTCTAACTGTTTAGCCACAGGTCAGAAGATTCCCTCGGGACTTCACCGCACCACAGAACAGGCACGATTAGGGCTCCTAGAGAAGTGCTAACTTCCTGAACTCTTCAAAGCGTTCTTGAACACGTGCTCACATTCCGCGCGCTGACATACTATGGTCACGTGACTCACGTATCGTACTTCAGCTGACTTTTTAGTGACTTTGAAACGTTTTTTTTGGCTTAGTTTTTTAACGCTGAGATATGCTATGAACTAGAAGAAACTACTGGCTTGTAAAATTTTGTTCTTGATGTTAAAACTAAACTTTTTATATGTTAGTTTTATTGAAAGTTTATAAACAAAGCAGTTCTTGACTTGTGAATTGCAACGTAAAAAAAAGTATAGCCTTCAAATTTTTTGTTTAGAAATGAAATATAATTAGTCAAAAAGGCATCAGGCTAGCTTGAGTACGTAAAAGTGACCACCCGAGAACACATCACAGCCTCACCGGTGCTGAGAGCCAGCCACAAGTTTCCAAGGCTGTGCTTTGGTTTTCCGCAAGCGTCATGACATTACAGAACATGAGCACGGTGTAAGAATGCACATGAAGAGGGGAAGCCGAAAACCGGCTTTGCTGAAACACATCTGCAAACGCTCCCGACCAGGCGGCAGAAATTAGGTGCCTTTCTGTTCTTGTAACCACTACCACCACCCCCACCATATGAGAAAACTTTAGTTTCGTTTTCGCTACTAGTGCCACCTCTGGGTGCAGAGAGAAACGAACAGGACGCCATTCGGGAAAGGGATCAAGTCAAAGAACGAGCGAGCCGAAGAAACCTCGGTTGGACATGAATCGCAGGCGATCGTCGATCCCGCTTCGAAGTTTCCTACATCCTCAAAAGGCTATCTTCGTGTGATCTGCATGTTTTTCACGGAACGTCTCGTGCTATAGTTATGACGGGTCGTCTCTGCGTGCGGACTGTTTACGGAATGGAGTTTATTAACCGGACCGTCTCCTCGGAAACTTGCCAACCTCGGGAGTAGACCTCGGCAAAACAGCGACCGTGATGATGGGTGAGTGTTACAAGGAACGACCTTCGAAAAACCGTTTCTTTTTCCGCTTACCTAAGCAGCCCGTGCGCATGCTGGCAGCGGTTTTAGAGGCCGTCTACCTTTCTTAATTTTTGCTCGAGCCTCACGGCCAGCGATCGTTGACTTTCGGGAGTGAAGTGCTCTGTGTTTTCACTGGCAGCAAAAAAACGCCGTCGTTCTTGTTTCGACTCGCGTGATGGTTGTTTCTAAGAGTGAGTACGCAGATGGTCTCAGTTTCCAAAACCGTTCGTTGGTTACGAGTAGGTTTTGTGGCTACTTGCCACGATCGTTGCCCAAATTAGGGCGCTCGCATTGCGGGCGTCGCTTGTGCCGGAAGGGTCTCTTGCTTACAAACATCTGGGTTGTCATTCGCGTCACGTCGGCGGCGTCTTTCGAAACGGGAACACCACGCTGCCTTGACAACGGCGGCCGAAGCGACAGTTTCGAAAGCGCTTCGCCGATCCGCGTTGCTGGCCTCGCATTGAGAAACGGGAGAAAAATCAAAAGGAGCGGCCCGACGTTTGGCGACGCCGACAGGATACGGTCAGCCAAGCGTGGGAGGTCGTTCCGGAAGTACAGTGAGCCGCGTAACCTGGATATCTTGCGCGCAGTGAACAAAAGGGGAAGAGAGGCGCATTGTTCGCGATCCTCCCTGCTTGACCGCTAAAACTTCGAGACCTCCAGTTGCAGACCGCTTCGCCGACTTTATAACCCTCTCCGTTTGAAACGATGCCGCTTCGACGGGTCGCTGGCAAGATAATGACTTTGAATGTAGGCGCATCCAACCCAGCGATGCAAGATTGGCGCCACTGAAATGGCTTTCGCCGTTTTCGATTCAGTGACGTTTCAGTTTTGGTTAGCGCTGCACGCGGTGACGTAATGTCGCCAGTCCTTGAGTTAGTTTACGACACCACTTGAATATAAAATAGCTTTTGTTAGCTGTCTGAAGGTGTGCACCTGAGGTCACTGAGTGTGTAATCGTTAAAATGTTGTTATCCCAGGATTAGGTTTTGCTGATTGAAGCAATTGTTTTTTTTTTTTTTGCGGGTGTGTTGCTTTCGATTTTGCATTTACGTGATAAAACTCTCGAACAACAACAAAGAAATTTATGCTTGGCTTCAATCGGAGTTCTTAAATAGTAGAACTAAATTTTAGGTCTGCGAGGAGTGGATGATTTGCTATCTGAAAGGGCAAGTCAGGAGGAACCGTTTGCCAGGCAAAAGGGATTAACACGAGCTGCCAACCAATATTTAGCATCGTAGCAACTGGGGTCACATTTGAAGGGAGACTGGCTACTATGTTGCTTAGTTGGCTTCAACTGTGGTAGGGTATTCAAGTCACAGCTAAAGATATGCTGGAAAGTTGGTGCGTTCCCGTTTTATACGAAACAACACTCTCAAGTTAAGGCAAGGTCAGCTGTTCATTATAGATTCATAGGGTATCATCACACAAGCACAGTGTAGTTTCTCAGAAATTTGCACGAATTGTGGCAGTGGTTGTCGATGGTATCTGTCATCTTACCCACAGTGCAAGAAACAAAAGCATGTGTCGATGCCTGACCCTCTCGGAGTTGCAGTTGTTGAGCAAATATGGAGGGAACAGTTTTTCAGCTTGTTGCAAGCACGGTCGCAATGGTCACATTTCAGTGGAGGTGAAAAGGATAGAAGCCTGTGTACTGTTCAATGTCAGTGCACATTAAATAGCATACGGTTGAAATTACCGTTTACCTCCACTACAGTGTGCCTCGTAATCATACTGTGGTTTTTGCGCATAAAATATTATTATTAGCCTGCTGTAAGCGAACATGGATGCTGGCCCTCAACACGTATTAGAAGCTTCGATTGTCATTATGTTTTGTTCTGTCATGCATGCAAAGTGCTCATGCAGAGGTGTGAAGCCTATAGCAATTTATGCTGCCATACTTGGCATTTGTTTTTGGCACATCGGCATTGCAAGCTATTGGCGACAAGTTGAAAAGAAAGCTCACTTTGGTCGTAAAGTCGAGCTGTGCCTGTCGTATTGGTAATGACCCTTACTGTGTGGGGCTAATCCTGCAGCTCGTAAGCACTGCGATAGCTTCGTTTAGCTAGCTAATGGAGTCTCGCTATACGTACTAGACACATACAAAGGCGCCTAAGCTACTCCTTGCCACTGTACCAGTTTTACTGATGGCTTCCAGAAATTAAAGGTTGTACCTTTGTCACATGGGCCCTTTTGAAAAACCGCCGGTCGATGCCCATCACAGTGTCACAACTTTATAAACTCAATGGAGTTGTTGCACTGCTACACAACAGTTTTTAGTGGCCGTTGAATGGTTCAGGCGTTTCTCGTAAAGATTGTGTGGCACTGCAGATTGTTATTTGCGTATTCATGTCACCCAAAGTTAAATAGTATAACTTCACTTAAAAACAAAATATGTCTGTTGGTGTTGTTTAAATAATGAATACGAATTCAGATTTTAAGCTTTTGAGAAGTGAAACCGTGGCGAGCGATGCACAGTGAGTCAGAATGATGAAGACAAGCACAGTTTTGTTGAGAGTGTGTGTAGTATGCAGTTTTTAGGAGATAAATATACTGTAATAAATAATTCACAGCACTCACATCTACGGCTTTTAAAGCATACTGGTCAGATTGCTGTTCTTTTTAATCTTGTAAACGAGCACACTTAGAACGAGGGTGAATGTTGGCACTACGTCCGTTTCTGTTTCTCAATGGCCATTGAAGTTTTGATGGAGTTGTGGGGCTTTTCATTGACTCGATCAACTAATGGCTCGGTGGCCTTTGAAACATCCTGTGTAGCAGTCTGCTCTTGACCATTGAGTCAATAGTCCATCGGTTGGATGGCCTTCCAAACGCGTGTGTGTCAGGGTGTAGGACAGGCCAGTATGTAAAGGAAAAAAAAATGAGAGAAAAGGTTGTTCAGTGTCTGAGAGACAAAGCTTTTGAGTAGCTCATGCATATTTCAAAGACTTGGCATCATATCAAGAACTAAAGAAGTGTGATCATTTTTCTCGGCTTTGCCACTGTAAATAAAACATTTGTTCAGCTTTTTCACCCTCTTTTATAAATCTGTGCATTTTTCTTGGTACCACATTCCACAGGTCTAACTTCAGGGTAGTCGCTATGCCAATTGAGCTAACCAAAATGCTAGAAATCTGCAGTAGGATGGGGAATCATTTGGCATATCAAAGCATGTGCATGCAAATTATTGCAAATCACTTCTTTGGAATCCCGTAAGATAGCAGGCAGATTATGATAGAGAAAATTAACACCTGTGCCTTGCACAGAGACAGATAAATTTCCTTGAATCGGTGCGAATTATCTTATTTAAAATGCAAAGTTCAGTGAAAAGAAATAATCATGTCGCCGCAGCAACAGGCAGACAGCCAGTTTGCTTATTTTACTGGGAACTGACAGGAACCTGTTTACCTTGTCAGTGGCAGGAAGGCTGTTGTTTTATCCTACTATACTTGATTGTGTGATATCCCTGGAAGTTGCTCCAAAAAGATGTATCTTTAGAAGCTCCTAAGGTTGTGGTCATGTGATGACTTTATGAAATACCATGTGGCGTTGCATCAAGTGACGTTTCATAGTAGGGCACATTAACAGTTTTCTTTCCTGCAAAGCGGTGGTGAACCTTGACTTAGTAATTTAGCCACGTTCCTTCATTCATCGCACAGAAAAATGGTGTGCTGAAAACGACACTAGAACAGTTCACGTTCTGCTTAGAAGAGCATTGCCATCTTTGACATCACAGATCTACCTGTGGTCACGTTTCGTAGTAGGGGACATTAACACTTTCCCCTGCAAAGTGCACTGCCCATACCCACGTAATATATATTTCGCTCTGAATGTTGTTGTGGTGTCCTTCTCTCGAGGAACAGTTGGCACGCTCCGCATAGCTTTTCGTTTCATTTTTCACTGATGAGATCCTCTTGTGCATGTGTACAGATGGGTTGCCCCTACCAGGAGGCTGCGTGGACAGGCGGGGCACCCCTGTGGAGCATGGTGACCGGTACACACCCGAAGGCAAGGACCCCTGCGAGCAGTGTACCTGCCAGCGTGGGCGACCCGACTCCTGCTCCATCACTTCCTGCTACCCACCGGCCCACTGTCACCAGCCGTACCTGAGGGGCTCGGGCGAGTGCTGCGACTACGCCTGCAACGGCACCACGCTTGGTTCACCTGATGGTTGGCCACTTTGCGCTTTGTATATTCGCTCTTGTTTTGCGTACACGGCCTTTTCTGCATAAATGTTGATGCAAAAGAAAAAGGTTGTAAAATGCTTATGCCAATAGAGTAGTGCCTTGTTAATAAGAACAGTGTCTTACACTTCACTCAGAGCCCAGTGAATCAGTGTCCGTTAAAAAAAGTTGCACAATACACTGGAAAAAAAAAAGGATGAAGGACAGAGCATATTGGCTGGTAGGTTACTTGGTGTTGCTGTAATAGAGTAAAGAATTGAGGAAGGTCAAGAGCTGACAAAAGAGGGGCATTTAAACAAAGTGCCACATCTGTCTTTCAGTTCTTGATAATAATTTTAGAATGCGTCCCACAATACACGCTATTGCCCACTCTTATCAGGTTTAACGAAGAGCAAGGGTTCTCAATGTATGCCTTTAGGAAGTGGATGGGGCAAGCAAGTTGTGCACTCATTGGTTATATTACGAATAGCTGTTTAGCTATGATAGTATGTTTTGAAAATGTGTGACACTTCTCCTGAATGAAGAAAAGTTAGTTATTTGCATGCGACAGTTTTTACTACCATGGATTCCACTTGTGAAGTAATGTGCATAGGTTTTTGATAGGGTTACTGGAGCAACGCATACTAGTGTATCTGCAATTCATTCTGGAATTGGGTGCATTATAGACGTATTTTTTACATGAAAGTACCATACGTCCTCCACAACATATATTTGTCGTTCTTGGTCATCCATGTCATTCTTAGTGCTAAGTAAAGCCAAAAACGTAATTGTCGTATCCAGGTTTATGCATAAGATGTATTAAAGGCGCGTTTCGCTGTAAGCTAAGGCGTGACAGCGCGATTGCTGTTTCATACTTTGGCCTACATGAACGGGTTGTAGCTCTTTAGATATTTTGAATTTATTGTTGAAGAGATTACACTGCTACAGTAATTACGTGTATAAACGAAGCTCACTCACATTATACCATAGGTGAAAACATCAAAGGATTACTTTGGATTGTATCATCTTTAATAAATCGCTTTTTTTTGCACTTCTGCATTTGTGTAGTGTAGCATTTTTTTTAATGTATTATGCAACAAAGCATTTAGGAGTGTCGTGGTGTACTGTGCGCTGATCTTGTTGGTCCGTTTGATGCCCAAGTAGTGTGAAAAATTGTGAGAACTAATGCTAGGGATAAGTGTGCTTTCATACAAATATCTTGTTGCCATGTTTGCTTCTGTTGGGGTAAAGAATTTGTATGTGCCGAAAGTAGCAAATGTGGTCAAGGTTAATACTTCAGTTTTCTTGATATATGAGCCGAGAACTGATGTAGGGCGAATACCAGCAGAGTGCAGCAGGTACACCACTCAATGACTGAAACATGATGCGCTGCTGATGAGGGCTCGTGAAATAAAGTTGACGAATTGTAGTGTGTGGTGTCGACGAGTGCGTTTAACGATGTTTCGTAAGTGCATGCAGACTGCAGTCATTCACTATGTTTGGTCATGGCACTGGTGTAGCACTGCACGACTTCTTTACTTTCAATTTGGTGCCCACTTGTCATGCAGCTTGACGAGGCTTGTTGCTGCTTTGAGGATGCAAGCTGATTTTGTGCATACTACGAGAGATTTGAATGCTTATGTAAGGAGATGCGCTAGCGTGGCTTGTATTGTCAGAGCTGAAATAAGGCATGATATTTCATGCTCATGATAAGGAAGAGGTGTCAACGAAGAAAATGTTCAAGGGAGAAAAAAAAAGAAACGCTCTCAGATCCTTTAGTCGATGCTGTTTGACTCGCCCTTGCGGCTTGCGTCTGCTCGCTACCTTACACTTCGCTATGTGAAATTCTAGCACGAAATGCAAGAAAATGTGCAATGAAATGCTTTGTAATATGCGTCTGATGGGTCCTGCATCATTTGCGTTGTACATGAGCGCATAGTCAGAAACACCATCGCTCGCAGCAATCCACACGTACAGTCATGCAACACTGATCGAGTGACTATTGGCTGAATGCAGTCTCAAAGCGTCACCAATGCTCTAGCTGTCTTTGTTTACCCTAATTCATCGGTGCTGTTTCACAAGCGCTTGCAGGGTGCACAACTGGTGCAGGCAGCCGTGCGTAACAATTTTCGTATTTAAACCGTCATACATTGTGCCGTCTGAAGCATTAAGATAAAAAAAAAAAGAAAGAAAGGTTTTGAGAAATACATTTGACTTTAATCTGGTTCCCCTTCACTTTGGTGCCAGGAGCAGATGTGCAGAGTGCCACTACCCTGGGCCTTCGGATGGTGGCCAGCACAGTGGCATCATTCCTCATCGTGGCTCTGCTGCTGTTCATGATTCATCGACTACGCAAGAGGCGCCTGCTCGTCATGATACGAAGTCAGTCTATCATTCTTTCGTTGTTTCCACACAGGGATTTAGTTTTAACTTAGAGAAATAACTTCGAATTGTGCACCTTATGATAGAATGCTGCAAGCTGCACGTACAAAGCATTGTTTGAATCACAAAGCTAAGTTACAGTGGTCCCCTGTTTGGTGAAGAACAGTCTATATCCATGTCGTGTCAGTAGCTGTTAACATTGTCATATGTTTTAAAATCCTGCTCCCTCACTATGAAGCACTATTATATTATGGTAGTCTTCGCATGTTAAGTATTGTTTCAACCTGCACAACTTGCATTTAATGACAAAGCACTTTTTTTGTCAGAAGCTCTATTTCAGTATACATAAATGCAAAAGATTTTCAGTATCACCCCTAGAGCGAAATATGCCATCACTATCAAAGTAAATGCTATTTTTTTCTTCTCACATTTATGACCTCATGCCACAAATCTATGTAGACATGTGTTAGCGTCCTCTATCCCGCTTTCGGTAAAATTTAGGGTGTCGCCGGTATGGCCGTAAAAAGGTGAAAATTGATAGAAGACACAACACACGACTCACGCACTGTTAAGAAAATGAAAACAAAAGAAGGTTGTATTTAATTAAGAAAACTAGGTTACAATATTACTCGCGCAACCGTTCAATTCCGCACAACGCACAACCGCTCAAGTCGCTCGCAATTCGCAGACTCTTGTTCGCTCGCCGTTCTCGCTGGGTCTCTGGCTCTTCCCGCGCTTTCTCGCTCTCCTCTGTCGACCACAGATCCGAGTACACATACGCGCACGCTGACACAAACGCGCACGCACCACACACACACACACGCACGTGCACAAATTGTTCCACAAAGTCAGTGGGAGAAGTCCGTCGCTTAGCCATTCGGGGAAACAGTGTCGAACGTCCCACAGGCCACGGATGCACAAAGCGGAATGTTTCCGTCTTCTTGCACCCGAACTCGCAAGGTGCAGTAAAGCGGGCTGCCGCCTTTGTGCTGACCCGGCGCCCGCAGGTCTGGGAGGCTCGCCGATCGCTGCTGCCCGTAAACAAGGAGGACGGCCCCCTCGAGTGACCAACGGACACTCGCACGGCACAACACAAGCAAAAAGAAAGAAATAAAACAAAACTTAGAAGATTTGAGGCAGTCGCGTACACATGGGCATTGTGCTTTGTAGCTGCAATAAGTGTTTCACTAGGAAATCCTTTAGTGCAAATGAGTAAACTTCTGACATTTTTACCAGTCCGGATCAACGAAAATGTTTCAATTATCTGGTGGGCAGTAACAAATTTCAAAGTGCATTGCTAATTTATTTTACAGTGTCTGTGCGATACTGTCATGCCTCCTAATGAAAGCTCATCTTTATATAGAAGTGACATTGGAACTCTTGGGGACCATATGGTCACACTCGTACATATAAGGCTAAGCATTGTTGCATGTCGTTGCTAAGCGGTCGCAACAGCTTGTAGGGGGCAGAACGAAAGAGCTGGAAAAACTGATTGCTGCGCAGTACGCAACAGTTTGTGTAGCCGTTGCCACTTCACTTGTGCAACATTGCAATGTTCACTTGTAACTCATTTGAGAAGTGGAGCATGAGAAATGTAAAGCCCAGACATGGCTATATGGAAACTAAAGAGGACTGATGCCTAAATGTTTTAGAGCAAGGTAGGTGTAATAAATACAGTGTAAATGATAATCTCTTAAGTTAAACTGCACTTAAATGGAATACTTTCTTATTTTGGTTGGTTTTGGATTTGGCTGGTTTAAAAAAAAAAAGGGCACTTTAACTGAACAAAACCAAATTCCTTGCCACTATCTCTGAATGTGAGCTCGGAGCAAGCTCTAAAGGATTTTCTTACCATAACAGGGAAAACTTGTTGTCTTCCATAAGGCCAATACATTCACTTTATGTTTACCATACTTAAGGATATTAAAAAGTGTACAACACAGCTGCAAGTTGCCACATCCTTCTGAGTAGATAGAACACCTGTTGACTGGAACACGTATCATCAGTACTCAGAGGTTTCATAGAGCAGTAGGGACTTTTCAATGAGGTTCTGTTTATCATGCGCATGGTATGGGTACCTGCCGAAATGCCACTTTCATGTAATGTGCGATTTATCTGGTCAACAGGGCTAAATGGGTGCCGAGCAGCGGCCAGCCTGGAAGAGGCCTGCTTGGCACGGCAGCTGGCACTTGAGGAGCAAGGCGTTGGCTTCCTGGGCGGCTTCTGTCCTGACCCCCCTCCTCCGTACACCTTCTGGAAGCCCCCGGAGGCTTATGTTCCACCAGGAGAGGCACCGCCTCCTTACGATGCTCCGCCTGTACTGATTGAGCGACAGCAGGTCAGTAGCATAAAAACCATCGCGAGTTGCGCATCTAGACAGGACACACTAGAAAGAACAGGTGCACTTCTCGTGTGTTTTGTCAAGTTGCACTGCTCACAATATTTTCTATGTCAAAACGCCAACTTGCCCAACAGTACACTCTTTTAGAGGTCAGTAGCAGTTGAAGATATGCACTGCTTCGACGATAAATGGTGCAAACTTTTTGTGACGTTGAAAAAGATAGTGCTGGCATTCAAAATTTTCATGATACGTAATAGACCACAATGACAAGTGAAGCTAGAGCATGTTGGTAACCTTCCGTTGTGTTTGTGATATTGTGAATGCCACAAACACCACTTTTGTTTCACCCACTGTGGTAGCTTATTAGTTGTGCTGCTTACAAGCTCACGGAGGTTTGGCTAATTCCAAGCCATGGAAGTCTCATTTTGATGGAGGTCAAATGCAAAACACGTGTGCACTCTACTTTTTCTTGCAAGGTGCCACAGTCATGATTACGTTCTGGCACGTTCGTGAGCTCTTTCTCTCTTGTATTATCATTAATACATTCATGCCCCCTTTTCCATCCCCAAGTACAGAGTAACCAGATGAGAACTTCTTTGTTTAGCAGGCCTGTCTTGTCTTTGCCTATCTCTTACAGATGGGTGAATAGTGCATCTGAGGTGTAAAGGGAATAAATATATTGATGAATATTTTTAAATCGTGTAGTATATATCAACTATTGTAAAGAAAAATTAGCATCTTTTTTTTGTAATCCTGTTGACTTGCTTACTATATTTAAGAATTGGAACTAGGCATCTGCGAGCGTCACATTTTCGGTTTGAAATAAAGTGGTAGCTCTCGAGCAGTGGCCCAAGATCTAACATGTCTAAAGTTTGCTATTATTTAGCTCTCACAAGCCCTCTTGAAACCCCCCTAAACTTAAAAGAAAAATTAATGGAGGTGCAGGTAATATGTGCATTTCTACCTTGCAGTGTGGTTTCATGGCAGTGCAAATTTTTCCTGAAAAGGTGGTTTCACGTCGTAGCAATCCCACACTGCATTGAAACCACCTCTTCTGAGGTAACATGCAGTCAAATACCCGTCTATCTATACATTTGGTGCACTTTGAAACTTTGAACTTAAATTCAACGTCAGAACGGATTCTAATACTGTTAAGATTTGTTCGAATATTCAAAGGGCTTGGATATTCGCCCATCCCTATTGTATATTTGCCTGTCCCAATGTCTCTTTCTTGTATTTCGGGCAGTTCGCTTTGTACAACTCTAGTGCTGGCTTTTAGTGAAAGTAGCATTGATACTGTAAAAGTCCAGCTATAGAAATAATCACACGTTTGACCAATTCTGCAGGAAGTTGCACCAAATTCTATGGATCCACTACCTCGCGTTGCATCAGCCACGCCTCCTTTGCTCTGCGGAGGCTCGTCGACCAGTTCTGAGGCAGGGGAGCCGCCTCAGCAGCAACGAGCGATTCGCTCGGATGCTTACTATGAGGATGGGCTGCGACATGTGACAGTTGTGCTTGTAGGGGACCAGGCAGCACGCAGGCGACTGTCACACTGCGAACCCTCCGTGCGGCGCCTGGTTCAAGACGGCGACAAAAGACTGAGTTTGCAGGTGATTATCGTGTACAAATGCCATACTCCTGCACATGCAAAGTAGCCCGTGCTGATATCCTGTTTTTCAAGCTGGTAATGCTGAAAGCACGATAGTTCGCACGAAGTGGCCATCGCCAGCCGTAAGTGGTAGATATAAATAGCTTGCCGTTTCTATGTTGAAGGAGGTTCTCTATTGTGGCTCAGTGGCTAATGCCTCACACAACGAGGAGGTTGGACCTTCGATTCTGCGCGCTGAAGTCTTTTTCTGGATTTTCTTTCCTTGCGTTTTCATGTATATAGATATGTATACATATACGGTGAAGGATGCCGACGCCGATGACAAAATTCAGCCGAGAGTGTCTATATAAATGCTATGGCAATGAAAATCTGTCCGAGACAAATTTTCTCGGCACGCAAGAGCAGATTGCCTTTTTTCTTCATGACTTAGGCTTCACCGGCTGCTCTAGCTCTCAAACGAGGTGATGTAAACAACCAGCTGCTAATTCAATATGGCAGCAAAGGTGTCGGTGGTGGATCGCGCCGATGCTATTGCGAACTGCCCGTGCAGCACCTCAAAACCCAAGGCCTTGACAAGGATGCGTTCATTGAGAGCCTGATTACAATCCCTGAGAACATCGGAAGTAGAAAAAGTGCAGCAGCAGCTAGTTGGCATGCCTAAACGTGTCTTGCCTTTGCACTGCTGGCTGAATCCACCGCCGCCGCTGAGTCCACTCATGTCATTTCTGTTGACGTAACATCCGAAACAACATTTGTAAAGGGGTAAACTGTTTCTTTTCAGTAGTTTTCACACACAGCTAGAACTCAGTGCGTACTTCAATGCTCAGGAAACAGGCAAAATGGAATGAATTCTCAAGCGGTGACGGCATTTACAAGGGGCCGAATGAATGTGAACGTTTTTGATGGGCGCAGACATGGTTTTCCGGCCGCTTTAGCATTCTCGATTGAACTTTCCAGTGTGTATTCTTTAGGACTAATTTTTCTCGTGTCGGCTTCGGGGCTCGGTTTTCCGGCCACTTAAGTGACGAAGCGAGTGAATTTTCAATGAGTGTTGTCACTTTTGCTCCCTTTGATACCAAGTGTGGACGCGCCACGCCAGCAGCATGAGTGAGGAAACCGCGGCACTTAATTCAGAAGACGGTGAAGGCAGGAAAGTTAAAAAGAAAATCATGGACTTTTTTCAGCAAGAAGTGGTTGCCAATAAAGTTAGTTTACCTTGAATACCAGCTTTAACTTTTTTTTGTTTCATACGAATTCGGGATGGTATGAATATTTCGCGTGCTCTCTTTGAATTCGTATCATTGAGATTCTACGGTATCATGTTCAACTCTTAAAGGAGAACTTTAAGGGTCCCCCAATATTTTTTTTTGTACAGTGGTGAAACCAGCATGTGTTGGTGTATTTGTTGGGAAATAGATTGGTTTACGTGTTCTCTATAGGTTATATGAACATGATCTTATCGCATTGTTGAGCATTCTGGGACAAGAGTTTATTGCTTTGTTGGTTTATGTGTGCCTATCATTACTTGCTGCTACTTTTGCAGTTTATCTTTGGTTATGATTGTCAGCTTTTTAAGGCAGACCCAAGGAAATACAATATTTTTTGTGGCATTTGCTATAGCACTAGCAATATGTTCTCGAGTGCATGCATGGAAGCTCTTGCACAATTTGTATACACTGCCTTTTTGAAGTCCCATGACAAAAGCAGGGCAGTGTCATTGCAATTACTATCGAACAATGGCGGCGCCTATGCTTGCTGAACAGTGGTGGTTTTTGGTGGTGCCAACACGTGTTTTAGACTTTGTCGACGCATTTTCAGGTTCTGGAAATGCATCTAAACGTTAAAGATTGGGTTTACTGTATAGCCGCAGACGATCCGAAGCTGAAGATCAGTTGCTTAGTTCATGGTTTCCTTCGCGCAGCTGCTGGGTGCATCTGCGGAACGATGACTTTTTCGATTCCAATGCTTATCATTTTTTTCTCGCTTGGCCAGTGTGGTAACTAATCAGAGCGGCTGTTCGTCCGCGTTATCAACAAAATCAGCATGCCGCGAGTGATGGATGATAAGAATGGCATAAAATAAGGTTGAAGTCGTCATTCCACGATACTCTGCTGCCATCTCGGCATTGTGACGGTGGACAGCTGCTGATGTTAGCGCGTTAATGCAACTCTTTGGTTCGTTCGCGAAAGCGGTTGTAGTCATTGTTTCAGCGTGCTTTTCATCATGGCCTGGCTACGCATGGGTGAGAATCGCGTCGTGACGCTGCTGGGATAGAATAAAGAGCAGCGGACACTTTTTGAGTTCTGAGAATAAGTGTTCCTTTGTTTTGCTAGTTCAGATCGGCTATATTTTTTCTATTTCACTACAACGAAGTTCTTGCTTCAACGAAATTTTTTCTGCGCCCCTTCAGTTTCGTTGTAGCGGGGTTCGACTGTTATACTAGAGAGTAATGAGAGTGTCAATGTACAGTGCTTAGATTGAGAAATGGGAAACATTTGGCATAACTGCCTTGAAAATTTCACAACAGCAAAAAATATGCTTGTGTACACATTAAAGAGATACACTGTAGGAACCTAACTGATGCACCTGTTCTGTATGATTTCCTGACTGCAACACTTGTGGTTGGGTATGGAACAAGTGGCCTAATGCAGCTGCACTTCTTACATTGCCCATTATCAGGTGGATTCGTATTGTAGCCTTAATTACTACACAAACCACTATTCTCCAACCAGATTAACTCTGTCATAATCTGCTCAATGAACACAACAAAAGGTTTACACCTTAAGAATTGGTTAGGTTGAATGTATTGCTTCTTGCCATATTTAGGTGAATGCTATCCTTTCATTCTAGAAAGGTACAGCTTTTCAAGGACTTAGCGCTACCTATTTAGTAGCTAAAACAGTTTTATGCGGTGCATTCACCGCTGATTTGAGCCCTTGCGTACTGACTTCTGCCTTCATTTGTTTTCAGGGCCCTCCTCCAAATCAAAACAACAATGTGTACCCTGACCCAACGTCTTGGGGAGGTGAAGGTGAGGAAGGAGGAAGTGAGACGAGCTCAAGCTGCACTGCCAGTGTTGACGACCGTCAGGGCGCATTCAGCCCCACCAGCAGTGAATCGAGTGTTTCTGCAGATGTCCCGGAGGTTGGCCAAGTTTCGCAGCCCACGACTGCCGTGGCTGCAGAACCACCCAAGACGAGGCATTCCTTGAACAGGACTCTGCAAAGGCTCAAGCGCTTTTCTATGCCAAAGCGCAAAGCCTCCAAAAAGGCTTGCACAGCCGGGGCATCGTCTTCGGCTGAAGGTATTGCCACTTCCTGCTGCCTTGGCCACGGCTCGGGCGTGGCGTCGGACAAGAACCGGACCGGGCAGCCTACAGGTTCTTCAGCACAGGGTAACCAGCAGCTGCCCGAGAGTGATGGTGGCCTCGAACGGCTGTCTGTATCGCCACCAGAGGCTCGGCACTCTTCTAGCAGCCACCAAGACACTGTGGAAGACAAGGCCTCTAGGAAGAAGACGGGCAAGCGAAAGCTGTTCGCACTCCCATCGTGGGACAGCTCAGTCCTGCGGAAAGTGCCGGAAGGCTGCAGCGAAGCCCGCGATCCATTGGAAGCTCGGGTCGCATCGGAAGTGGGCACACCTGCCGTGGGGAATGGGGGGGCTGCTGCGCGTCCGAGCTCCCTAGATCTTCCAACAGCCACATCAACGCCCAAAAATCTCGCATCTGCCTGCCCTGTGGTCATCACGGTTAAGTGCAGGCCCGTGAGGACAGAATCAACCAATAGTAGCACGACAGATCGCCGAGCAGAATCGCCACATTCCTCTTCTTCATCTGCATCTGCCTGCTCAAAAATGAACAAACAGCGGACTCCAGAGGTGACTGGTGCGAGCCCGAAACCGAACGGTCCAGTGACTGTGCAACCGTACGTCGAGGCAGTGCATACAATCTCTCGACAGAGCGTTGCGAGGCAGGTGGCTCGGCTGGAAGCACAAGGGTTCCGGCCACCCGACGCTTCGTGCACCTTGCAGAAACACTGCCGCAGTGCTTCGCATGACAGCCGTTGCCAGGAACGGCTACACTGCAAGGTGCGGGAAGGGCAGATGGCCTCGCAGCCAGCTGCTCCCTTTTGAGTGCACGCAAGCCTGTGTTCCCCCCGAATTCGCCTACAGAAATGTGAAGACTGATGGGAGACTGGGCTCCTTCCTTGTAATAAATGAACTGATAGCTTCTTAGTGTGGTGAATATCATATGAGCAGTGAGTAGGCGTAAGCAATTTTAGATGCTTCAATTTTGTGTGAGTCGCACTTGTGGTTCTTGAAGTGAATTCTCAAGCAGGTTATTGTTACCAATGTGATGCTTTGGCGGATGATGAAGGTTCGAGCTTAATTAAATGGTCACGTGAAAAAGAAGAAGCCATCGTGTATGCATCAAGGGTATCACGGTGCTAAACAGCTAGCTTTAGGCAGTAGGTATACCTAGGATTCAGTATGTCAGTAGCAGCTGTATGACGCCATGAAAAGGGAGGAAATGAAATTTTTGATATCAGGCTGTAGGATTAAACTTCAAGTTTAATTACAATGTAGGATCAGATTAGAATTAAGATGATTGTATATAATTGTAATTATCCTGATTACAAAAGTATTTGTTTTTTTGTTTCTATTATCAAAACTTCTGAATGACATCTCAATTTCAGATCATTGGCTGTCAGATATACTGTTTGAATGAGCAATTAATGTCATCTTTGAGTTCCTTGGATAAATTGGTCAATTGACTGTACACAGCATTAAGCGCTTTGTTTAGTTGTCTGACAGTTGGCGACTGAATTTGAAAAGCTAAAGTAGTGGCAGAAATTTAGTAACCAAGCGATATTTTATCAACTTCCTGTCTTTGAGACCTTAGTGTTTTGTAACGAGACTGGTGATTTCTTTTTCTTCATTCCTATATGCCATACAATATGATGGTGTTCACGAAATGGGACCATTGCCTATCCCTAATTCTAGTGTTGTTCAGAATATTTTCTTTCATTGCAATGTGCAAAGGTTGCATCAGCCACTTTAGTCCTTCTGTTCAAATTCGATTAAGTTGGTAAGCATTGGGTTTGAAACTGAATGTGAAAGATGACTGGTTTCATGGGTGTTAACATCCTCAAATGTTGTGGTGCGAATATCATCTCGTAATTGAAATAGGCTAGGAATTGGAGATGGCTTGATCGTCACTGTTCAACAAAATGTGATGCTGAAGAGGTGCATCTAAATAGGGTCACAATGGCGATTAGTTAAAATGTATGTATCATTTTTTTGTTCATTTACAGTCAATTTACTACTGCATATTTATTTAAGGGTGAACATGTACTAGGCATCCTTTATGTTTTTGTATGAGTGTGCAAAATGCATAGATCTCTTTTCGAGGAGTGCAAAACTGTCAGGATATCTGACTTATCACAATGTTGCACTTTTGCAGGTAACTTATGCCTGTGGCTCGGCTCTGATAAGAGCTACCTATCTTGATGAAGCGAGAGCTCTGAGAAGAGTTGCTTTGTTAGCCAGAAAGATATGCATTCAACAAAAGGAAATGCTGCAGTTACTGCATGCCTAGATTTTTGAGTTTTTATAAATTGCTCAAGATAAGTAATAAGTGTACGGTTCACTTCCATCATGCGAAGCTGAACCGAAATGTATAATTGTGTAACTTATGTCCAATATTAATCAGGAAAAAGAGGAGTGCTTTTTTATACAGGCATAATAGGAGTTCTACTTTGAAGCATGAAATCCTTTTTAGTGTTCATAGTCTGTCGCATACATTTTGTTACATCCTAGAAAATCTACAGAGAGGATCCAAATCTTTCTGAATAAAGTCATTCTGAGTATATCAAAGAATTCCTTTTCATAGTTACTGCTATAGAAGCTGTCAAACTCAGGTCTAAGCCACTTTTAGCAATTTTACTTTCAAAGGCTATCTCGCAGTGTTTTAAAGATAGGCTCCTGGTTGTTCATGTTGGCGAACGATGGTGGTGACTGCAGCAACTTCTATCTCGATGTGCCAGTTTAAAGTGTGTTCAAACAGAAGGAAAACCAATAACGTAAAAAAGTATTTGTGATCAGAATGAAGACATGACTGAAATTGCATTTTAGATGTTCTAGAGTGAAACAAGTGTTCTTTATGAATTTTCGATACAAGGAAAAAGTTGGCGATCTGGAATGAATGAGCTCAAGCAAAGTAGGCATAAGTGCATACCTCAAGGGGTAGTATTAGTTTAAGCATCGATTCCACGGTAAACGCGTAGACGTGTCGTGGAAAACGAAAAGTGTGCCGACCGGAGCTCTGTCAATTCACAGAGCTGAGTAGAGTAGTCATTGTTAGTGCTGAATTTTGATTTATCATAGCATCAGTTTCATATATCACTTTACACCAGATAATAAACTGCTTCTGAGATCGTGCTCATTGAACACATGGATTCAGCCAAAATTTTTGTCCATCTAATACTTTTATCATTATACTTACTTTAATTTTTTTCTTTGGAAGTGAAAGCTTTTACAGAACATCTCTTTTCATTATGGCATTGAGAAGGGAAGCAACATTTTTTTTCTGGTGGGACGTAACTGAAATCGAAACAAAAGAATCCTGATGCTTTAAGTCGCGCAAGCCTTGGCACAGCGAAACACGGCCCCGTATCTAGTCACACTCCCCGTCGACCGACACATCTACGATATGCGCGGTATCCTCCTCGGGAGTACACACTTTCATAAGACACCACGTGAGCCTCACAATCGGGCGCCACCAGGCTATGCACTGTAGAGCGGAGGTTGCGCGCGACGTCTTTGTTGGCGGGCATGGCCTGCTTGCTCCCTCTTCACTTTCATCTTTTTTTTTTTCTCTCTACTTTTTTCTCTCACTTTCGTTCGTGTTCTCTCTGTCTTTTTTCATTTCTGCGTTTCTGTTACTAACACATGTTTTGTGCTGTGTGGTGGTAGTGGTATTGGTTAGAAGAGGAAAAAGGCACCCAATTTCTGCGGCCCTGTCGGAAGCACGGCGCAGTGCCTATGTGTGCTGTGTCATGCGAAGCCATACGTAGCTATGCTATGCTTTACCCTCGCCCTTCCTTCTTTCCATTATTCTCACCCTCACATCACTCCTCACTGTTCTTTCCTGCCCACTTGCTATGTATAGCTATGCTATACATAGTTTTGCCTGCGCGACGCCTAATAGCGATGTAAGATGAAAGCATGTGCAATGACAGCGCATTTCTTTCATTCTATCCCCAATTCTTGCCTCTTTTCTCTTCACCCTCGCATCACTCCTCAGTTGCACTTCCCTTTGCCGCCCCCTTGCTATCCATGGCTGTACGAGAGATGGCTATGCTATATGTGGTTTAGTCAGGGCTGGATCCAGCCACTCATTTTCGGGGAGGAGGGCAGTCGCCTGAAGCAACAACGGATAAGGGGGGGTGTCGTGAGTTTTTTTGTGTTTACTAGTAGAAAAACCCCTTCATAACGAATACCGTTATTGTGAGCTCACAGCAGTTTCGCTCATTTGTCCCAATTGGGGATAGGAGGTGGACTACAAGCACTGAAGTGAGAAGGGGATGCTAACTCAGACTTCCGGAAGGGGGGCATTGCCGCTAGTGTCCCCCTCAGGATCTGCCACTGGGTTTTGTATACGTTACACCAGGCGACCTGAGAGGTCGACGACACTGTACGTCAGCCCGAATAACTCAAGTACTTATTACCGTAAGCCGTCTTACGCGCATTATTGTCGAGTAGCGATATTAGGCCAACTTGCGCACCTGAAACAGAAGCTGCGTGAATAGTACAATTTGGTGTGCAAAGCGAATTTGATTATTTGAGCGTCGAGTGTGGATCGAATCGCACATTTTTCGATTATTCCTGGAGTATTTCCTGAATACATCAAAGCAAAATTGTGGAAAAGAAGTGGTGGAGGGAATATATTCTTATGAGATAGCAACATAAATGTTTCTTTTGGCGAGATTTATGAAATGCTGGTGGGGTGGTGTGTAATATCTGTCTTATTGAGAATAAGGCAATGCAGACACTGACCTGTATTTATGTACCTGATGTGGTGCAACGAAAGTGTTGCCAAAAACACTTTGCCCATGAAAGGCGAAGATGCTGAGCCCTCAGCCACTCCTCTTTCAACTTCTATGGAAGCCCATCTGATGTGGCGGAAAAGGGTGCGTTCCCTTGAAGTCCAGAGTTCCGAATGTGCCTCACAGACAGACCTCAATAACAACTGAAATTTCGCATGCTGTTTGTAAAGCCCTGTCTGTAGCACAAATAAGTCAGTGCCTGTTTCGTTGTTTCTGTGTTCGTCCTCATGTTGTTGGGCTGTTTGCAAAGTGAAGCTGTACTTGGCTGTGCGGGGTAATGGTACATAGCGGCTGTGGGAGTGATGTATAAGCACCAGTGCCTTGGTCTAGAAAGATAGTTCCGGGTTGGAAATGGGATGTGTTGGCTGAATGCTAACAGCACAGATGCGGTTCTGTCGCCCAAGTTGTTTCTGCAATGCATGATGCTGGGTATGGAGGAATTGAAGGCCACCGAATACAATCAGGGATTTTGCAGGGTCTGTGTGAAGCCGGTGTGCATGACCGGATGGCAGAAGAAAGGTAGAGTGTGCCACGCAACTGCAAAAGACAATGGATTACGCTAAAAGCGCGGTTGTTGGTTAACACTTTTTCATTGCAGGTTGTCAAAGTCGAGAACCTATCCCTGCAGACACCTGCAGGTGAGTAACCTACGTGGGCAGCACATTTTTTTTAACCCTCTCCTACAATCTGTTGCATTTTGAATGTTATACGGAAATTAAATCGCACGAGGTGTAAAGTACTGCTCACGTGGCGTCGCTAAATATGCTTCTGACGAGAACAAATTTACAGTGTTTCAAGAAATGGGTCCAAAATGATAAAAATTTCACAACCCAAGCGCCATGTGCAAGTGGTTAACCAGTCAAGCTAAAAAATGCGGTCACAGCTAGGTGGTCGCAGATGTCGCAGCCAAAGCCTAAGTGCCACTCGAGAAACCCCCGCCGAAAGCAGGCGTTGGCCCCAGCGAACGCTCAACAGATACGGGACAGAACCAAGCGCTGTCCTATCCCGTTTGTCCCATTGTAGCGCTGTTTACCCAAGTTCAGTGTGCACCAAGCCTGCATTAACATATTATATATCCGTTTGGCTAGTAGCATCCACTCGCGATTGACACTTATGTTCCGCAACGCGATTTAGCACTGTATTCTCGATACGCAACAGTGGCGTAGCCAGGCGGTGGCACACCAAACTTGTGCCCCCCGCCCTTAAAATGTTGTTTCGCCATGCATACAAAGAGCAAAATGAAAATCTGCCTTTCCCGGCCCCCAACTTTTGCGTTGGAGGTCAAAATCCAGTGCCTATATATACGGGGTGGCTGGTGAACGGTTGTGCATCGCGAGCAGTCGGTTTTTGAAAATTCGAATGCATTTCTTAGTCGGGCTATGTAAGGCGTTGGGCGTTGTCCGCGCCGTCCACGCGCTGGCAGGTGTTCTCTCCGCTGTCATTTCCTCTCTCATAGCAATAGCTGCGGGTGCGTGCGCTTATCCTCGCCCCTAGCAACCGGAACATGTAGTGCGAGAGAGTGTAAAAGAGGGTAGGTGCAGTGCTTCGCCGCTCCTTCTCTCGTCGTTCACGCCTCAGTCTCGCCATTTCGTTGGCTGGGCACCTTTCAAGAACATCCGGTAATGTGTGCTCGAGACGCCTCTGTAAAACACCAACGCCTAGTCGAGAACGATGTGACCGCACTCTCCCGTCCACTCGCTTTTCACTCGAGACCATTCACTGGCTGGGCGCCTCTCATGGCGATTGTAGAAGTTGGTGACGGCAAATTTCTGACGGCAACTGTGCCCTCTCTCGGCGCAAGAAATGCATCCGCATTTTCTGACTATTCAATCGGGGAGGCGGGGAATTTTTTCAATCAAGACAGTCGCTAGCAGACGCTGCCTGCGTCGGTTTTGCGAGACGCCGCGGGCGTGACACTTTACTCGTGTCACCTTACGTTACCGAAAAATGTTAGCGTAAGTATACGTTACCCGTTGCAGTTCCGAAGTTGTTACGAGCACGTCACTAAGTTACCGAAAAAAAGTAACGCGTTACCGGTAACGCTCTTACTGGTAACTCGTTGCAGGAAATAATTTTCTTCTCAGTTCGCTTTTTAGGAGTGAAGTTCCTTAAGGGATGAGCTGAGCGTCCCGTCGCAATCGTATGTAGCCACCCCTCGTTAGTTCTTGAACCGGCCATAGAGGGCGGTACTTGTGCATATGTGCTGAAAAATGCAAATGGTATGATACTAGAGGACGTTACTTGTATGATAAATAATAAAAAACACAACATATCCATGGAGTGAATGATGATGAGTTGGGTGAAGCGTCCGTCATTCCGTCCGTTCTTCAGGTCGGCCGTTCGTTCTTGCTTCCGTCCATCCGTGCGTCCGTCCATGCGTCCGTCCTCTCATGTATCCGTCCGTATGTGCGCCTGTCCCTGCGTTCGTCCACGCGTCCGCCCGTCCGTGCGTCAGACATACAGATGACGGACGGGCGCAGCCCGTGGATGATTCACGGTTTGCGATAAAAAAGTATGATATGCGCAAAGTGGTGGCGGCTCGCGCTCGAAGACGGTACCCCGATGTGCGAGCGCGTGAGAAAATAGGAATGACGTCGCACGAAAACGTTGGCGATCGAGTGTTAGTCGGTGGCGCTGTACGCTAGCGGGCGTGGTGTAGTAAAATAAAAGCCGTATTGGCGCACGCGCACTTTCAGAAGGTCAGCGGGTGGACAAGGCTATAGAGTGGTGTGCGCGCAAGGTGGTGGCGGCTCGCGCTCGAAGACGGAA